CCATTTGAAAGTTACTAGCATGAATTCCAGCTAAGACCAGCATTACTTAACGCCAACAGTGGCTTTCGCTTTTTCACATTCATAGGATACATCTCCCCAATTTATTAATTGACCTAGCCACCTTGTCAACTGCCAGTGAAAGTTAGCACCTTCAAGAAAGTCTATTCGCCCAAGGCGCCGCACGACAATCATACTAACCGCTAAATTTTCGAAATGACGTCAATATCGGTGCCGTAGTTCCAGAAAGCCTTTAATTTACGGACCGTTTGGTGTTTCGGATAGAATCTTTTTTCAAGCAAGTTTCTCCTGCGCCAATGAGATTTACTTCGACAATAACAGGGAGCAAGTTCGTGATTCCTCTTTTCAAACGTTAATACTGTTGAGCTTATAGAATTTCGATATCGTGGATAACATCTTCCGTTAATAGAGATAAAGGAGTTAGTTGTTTACGAAAAATACACCAATTTGCCAATCAATTTGGTTTTCAACTCAACTCTGAATCTCTGGTTTATGTTATTCTACAACCGAATGTGCGGATGACAGAAACTCGAAGACTGCGCCTACCTGATGAGCCCCAAGAAGGGCGAAACCGGTTGTGGGCTGTCGAAGTGTTTTCAGCAACCCTGTGAGTAGTTTGCTTTATAAAAATAGTCAGCTGTTTATTCATGCTCAATATGGTCGGCTATCTTCAAAGTTTCGCAAAGCAACCGTCCGTCAATTTGTTTATTTGAATCCACGTCCACGTTATGAGCACGGCCAGTAATGGCATCTGAACAGTTATGTTACGTTGTTCTAATAATGGCGAGCAATCTTCCATGAAAAGCAGGCAACTAGGTCGGAAATCAGGAATGCGGAAAGTAATATATCACCAAACAATCCCCGTCTCAAGGCTCTGCTATTCTCCAGATCTATAATATAATGTGTGTCTGATGCATGCCACACTATCAGCGCTGGGTATTCGCCCGCATTTCTTGTTGGATCGCTTACTCTTTTCTTCTACTCGTTAATTTTGGTATGCAGGTCCGAGGCTCTATGTCTTATGTAGGCCGCAGTGCAATCGTTGCGTTTGATTCCTTCCAACCGGTACCGCTCGATTGCACCAAAGCTGAGCGCAACATTTCGCGTTCGGGACGCTCTTTCGAATGTTCCGTTACCTTCGAATAATCTCCGATGTTCCTGCTCCCTATAAAATGACCACTGTACCGATCAATCCTTTGCTGGGTCTTGATACCGCAGCCAATATCCTTTTTAATTACCGCCTATCCAAACTCAACGGTCATCCTATTTCTTGAGATCTGTCGGTAATCTCGATCTGAGCTGCCGCTCGTTTGACTTCATTTGTGTAGGGCGCTCTGACTCGACCGAAAACTGAAGAATATATTTTGCTAATTTTGTACTATTCAGTTCTAGGTAGAACATAAGTTTGACGAAAACTCGAGGACTGCGCCTACCTGAATGTCCCCAAGAAGGGCGGAACCGGTCGTGCGTTGTTGAACAATGTTCAGCAAACTCATGAATAGTGTATTACATCTACACCGATGTCCGTGTTCTGTGTGGAATGTGCAAATCAAAAAGCCTTGCTAGGTATTGATACCAGGGCCAATATCCTTCATAAGGGTTGCCTAATCCGACCTACTGGGTATCCTAAATCTTGATGAACACGGTTTTGTGTCAAGTGCGAGTCCTTTTAATGCAACAAATGTACCTGCTTTTTCTCAAATCTTTCCGAGAACTCCAAAGCTCTACTCCTTGTAAGTGGATTCGGGAACCGAATGTGGAGTTTTCACTTTGAACAGAGCTTTTAACTAGTTTCTCAATCAGTTCAAAAAGTGCGTACTGAGAATCGTCATTTGGGCGGTGGCCGTCTGTCATTTCGCCCAAAAATTCCGTGAACCACCACACCATTCGAATCTTTAGCGTGTGGACGGCGGCGTTTACCTTCTTGTTCCCGAGCAGCCGCCAACTTAGTTTTTGAACGCGTAACTTCGCAAGTCTCCGAACGAGTTCCATTGTTTCAGAATGTTCGAAACCAAGACCAATTTTTAGCTGGTCAGTTGCTTGTGATTTGAGAAGCCCTCTTGTCTGTTTTCGAATGCCATCACGTATGAGTTAATATATGTAACCGAATTGGTACAAGTACCCAGTGAATATAGCCATTTCTCTTGAACTGATGGTGTAACGGTGATACTAGTGATGGGGGGGCACGCGAGTAGTATGTGTTGTTCGTGGAATTTCGCTTTGCGTCTTTTGAAAAGGGGAGATTTGTTGCGGAATTTGTGGAGTCGGTTTGTAACATTCGCTTGGATTTGAGCGATGAGTGATTGGAGTTAATGAATATCCAGGAACGTTTAAGAAGTTGCATTCAGGAGAAGATGTACGTCCAGTTTTTTGTAATTAAGATGCAAATGAGAGTTTTGCTTCCTTGTCTAATGGTCTGTAGCTGGTCAGTTGGCATTTTTCAATAATCAACTCTGTATCGAAGGCCTTTTACCTTTCAATGTGACTTCATATCAAAGCTCCTTGATTGAAACGGATGCATTATGGACAAGTATGTTGTATTAAACTCTTAAGTGTCTGGTACATCGGGGAAGGAAAAATAGTTCTGCAGACCAGTTTCTAAAGTTTCAAGCCTTACATCAAAACACCGGTAAAGAGTACTTCCACGCGCTTTCATGTGACAGATGATAAGGCGAACTCAACCTTTTGTGTTTCTCCCCCCATACCGGTTAATTTTCACTTTTGAACTGTTTTTGATGGACACCACACGCAGCAAGTAAGTACTGCAAATGTGTAAGCCTCTGTGACCCCGAATATGAGTTGGCTACTCTGGAACATGCTTTAAAAGTTAATAGAAATAACATCCGTCCTCTCAACAGCAATACGGAAAAATAGTCTGTAAAGTTTGGAGTAAAATATGTAAAAACTATGTCAAGATGATTGTTGACGAGACAGAAACCTGCGATGATCCAGTAATTTAGCTGTCTTTCTTTCATATTCTGGTGCTTTTAGGCCAGTCCCGTGAAAGATCATTTTTGAAAGTTCCATGTTTGTAGTCCGACAGGATCCGTCAACCCTCTCCCCTGACCGAAAATCGTTTACTTCTCTTCCAGGTTTGAAGGTGTCACCAAACAACACGTGGGTGGTCGCTTGGTTTTGCTTTGGAAGGAATATTTTTTTCTACTCCAAGTTGTTGATAAAAATCACCTCCATGGTCATCAAAAGGAGGACAAGATAGTCAACACATGAAGAAAATGATAGTGCTTCAGGTGTTCTGTGTGTTACAATATTGTTTCACTCTCAATAGATGGACTAAATTTGGCCATGTAGTTCCAAAGATGCTGGCTCATTCCGCATTAGGTCTCAACAAAGGACCATTTCATCAAAGGCAACTTGAATAAAGTTGTTTTCTTCCTGCATCAGAGAATTAGGCTTTTTCAAACTCCACTTTTCGTAGCGTATCAGAATGCGGGTCAGACAAGTATATGTTGATCTGTCGGCGACAATGTTGAAAATGCTGATTTGGAAACTTCACCAGGGATCACCGCGCCTTTCACGAATCTCCAGGGAGGTATTGTGGGTAAGGCAGAGAAGGTGCCCTATCTTAATGATTATCAGGTCGTAGCCGAAGGGTTTTGTCTTAAGCTACTCGCCGGAGGGTTGATAGTTCCAACCCCCCTGGGGAATTGCAAGATGGGCACTGCGGATGATTTCCAATGAGGATGGAACAGCTGTTCTATGCTAATTGGTTTTTCGGCATAGAATGATCTCACTTGATTGCAAGAACTGCACACTTTAGGATAAACTCACAGTCCGTGATCATTATGAACTATTTTTGTTTGAATAGATGCTCAGAAGCAGCAACATTCTTGAAAGGATCTCACGAATTTGAGCTTTTTTTGAAATGCAAAGATTGGTCGATAGTCAAATGACATCCTCACATGTCCAGCAAGCATGCTGCCTTAATATGAGTAGCTTTCAGCATAGCACGAAAAATCCATATTTGGGTTTATTACAGAAGGATTTACAAAAGGCAATATTCAAGCAGTCTATTCCGTGTTAGAGCATGAGTCCACAAGCCTGGCCACATGATACCGTCATCGATCTCGCGACCATACATCACAGGTTCTCTCGAAACCCTGACACTGAGGCGAAAGTACACTAGCTTCACAGAGCCATGTTCGAGGTGCAAAGATACCACCGTTTGACAAAACGTCAGGCACGTGAGGTTGAACAATTTTCACAAGTTTACCACTTTTACTCATGGTGAAAGGCCAGATGCATATAGTGTTAAGTATAAGTGACCTCCTGTGTCTGTACTGTTAAGTATAAACTTCCCAGGGCACCGTGTTTTCAGTAGCATACCGTCAAATAATTTCCCTCGGGTTAATAAACTTCACCTTCGAGAAATACACCATTTTGCAAATCAGTTTGGTTTTCACGGGAGACTCGATTGAATCTCTCGTTTATGATGTCCTTCAGCTGAATGTGCTTAACCCAGGCCGCCTCATGATTCAGTTGGCACGACATTCGAGATATCGGAGTATATTTTCATAAAGGAATCTACTCACAAGGTTGCTTACCTTCAGTATATTCATATTTTTGAGGGCACGTTCCAGAAATCTCCGACAAAATAGTGCGCAATTACATTATTGCTCGATCACGAGACAAAATCGCTTATGACGCCATTGTTAAAAGATAGATTACCAAATTCCTTTTTCCCGCTTGCGAGACGTCAATGCCTAAAACTCATATCACAATGGGAAAACAACAAAATTGAACTCGATTTGAGCTTCAAAATCGTTAGCGGTGATTAAGTCTGGCTAAATAAATGACGTAGATAAATTGCTTCTATAGTAGATTACGCGGATGGAAATGCTGTTATTAATCGACTTTTTTTATACATCCTACAAGGTAAAAAATATGCCAGTCTAACTGACTGGACTTTTGTACCTTTAAGTGTATGGAAAACAAAATTCAACCAGGATTTAAAAAAAACTCACTTGTGGTTCTTTCCCAGCTTCTTGGCCTCAAAATCACAAAAGGTCACTCGGGGAAAGTTGCCTGAATGGAACCATTCTCTACCTCGAATCAGATCGATGAGCACACGCAGACCGTAAAATGTGTAGTTGTTTCCAACAAATTTTTCCATCATAAAGAGTTGTCCGATGATATTGGTCAAGTAGAGAAGTTTGATGAAAAAGTACAAAACAACCAGGTAGTTTCCATGCCGTTTTCCACAACAACCCCAGCCGGAACTTCCCCCGGCACTGCCAACACCAATAACCGTTTCCCCGGGGACTGTGGAAGAACTCAGCGGACTTGATTTGTATTTTCCTGATGTGCCGGTAGGTGCGCTTGGACTGAAGGACGGGGAATCCGTCGGTTTCCTACTTCCCAACATTGGATGTTCATCAGATCCGCGTAATTCTTCACCTGGGCTTAGCGTTGGTTGCTTCTTGGATTTTGATAATTCAGACTGTAAGGAAAATCTTAGACGAAGGCGATCTAAGAGGGATTGTGACGTTCCACGTCTCCCCCTTCGTGGAACAGTTCCAAAGTGTGCGGTATCTCCATTACCACGACCACGATCTCCCGGAGATACTGGCGCATTACCACCAACTGTGGTCTGGGATAGAGTAGTGAAGTTGACGTTACCGGGGCTACTGGTGTACAATGGTGGCGCGTGCGGAGGGGAAGCATACGGGGGAGACTGATGATGGTGATGGTGATGATGGTGTCCTGAAGCAAATCCGAGGTGCGGATGATGATGATGATGTAACTGCAGATGTTGCATCTGACCCAGTCCAGTATAACTGGTCGGTGAGTAGCCAACATTGGCTGTTGATCGTCTGCGACGATAGTCTCTTTGACGGTAAATGCATCCTTCCATATATCTGGCAATAAAACGAACGTTTTTCATAGTATGCTCAGGGAGGAGAACGTTTGAATCACAAGCCATTTGGAGTATGCGTCTCACATTAAATCCGGAATGGGCCATAAACAGACGCCATATCAGACAAGGGAGATAGAATGCCATGGCCTGCAAAGCCATGACAATCGGAGCCCACTGATAGTAGCCAATCAGAAGTAGTTCCCGATCGGGTGCAGGAGGTAGCCGGTTCTGAATTGGGGCAAAATAGGTGTTGGATACCCAACAGTAGTTTTCCGCATACTCTTCCCAGCCACGAGTAAATTCTTGAGGAATCCAACACTGGATAGGCTTTCCTGATAAATTAAGAAATAGACAAGGTCGCTGTTTAGTGGCACATCAAAAGAGTAGACAATCGGCTAAAAATGAGATTCCGTAAATGGATACAGTGCACGGGTAAGATGACAGGTAGAAAACCTGATCAACGAGATTCTACTTTCTACGGCGAGATTGTTCCGATCAGTATGGCATAAACTGTCTTGATTCAACTTGCTGACAGCATTTGGGAATTATCACTGTCCTTAATGGTGTGCACATCTGTCGTTTTTGTACGATCTTAGTCCGTTTAATCAGGACAATCAGACTGGCTTAGAAAAGTAAATTCAAGATGGAGAAATGGTCTGGAACGACAATTACGTTCAAATCAAAGGAAATTCGGAGTGCAAAAATACCACGGGTGATCATGATCCGGCACTGAGTTGCTTCTAGCCAAGCGACAATCCAGTGCTTTCAACTTGTCAGCAAGACTGAAGGTAGATAGCAGTTGGATCACCATACACCTGGAAAACTGGGCAGAGTTCCCACTCCTAAAGGAGAGGTTCATATTTGGGAAAGGATATCAACCCAACCAGGTGTTTTATGAGTCAGTCCAATGGCTCTTGGGTTACAAAGTCCATTCTATGGGAAACCTGCTAGACTTGGCTGCATTTTGTACTATTCTCTGTCTATTTGCTCAAGTTTGATATGTGAGCTTTGCACCAGAGGCAAGAAATCAGGAACCCGAATTACCATTTTGTTTTTTGTCAAAATCTGGTTATTTGAAAAAAAAGCTTTTTTATTTCCCTTTTTTCTGCCGTGTTATATTCTTCCGAGGCATTTGATTTCCAAATGAAGAATCTCATGCTAATAAAGCTCTTCAGTTTAACTATCCAATGAGCGAACATTAACGAATCGTGCTTTTCTCAATGTCTATGAATCATCTTTATTCATACGTAATCTAATCACAGAAGGATAAATTTTTACCTTGTAGACGTACTTACGCAGTTGGGCTTCCGTTTGAATAAAACTAGACTAAAGTTATCGACCATATTAATTTCCGATCATAGTCGCGTTTGATCCTTAGGGGTTTGCCCCAGAGTCTTAGGTCAGCAGTTCGCCAGCAAGCTGGAGGTCGTGAGCACGGTTTTCAGACTTAGGTGTCTAACATAAAATTAATTTTTGGTTAGAGGTTTTACAAGTATTTTGGAAAACAAAGCTTTACTATTCTGTTGTTCAGCGACAGAAGTTGCCCAGTGTTTTGACTTTGAAAACGGTCTCTCTAGACCATTACCGTCCAGCTGGAGAACCGGGTGGTTTTGCGCGTGGGGACTTCAGAGAGCTGCAGAACATATCCCTGCCCGGTATTTTTACTTTCAGAAGGGTGTACTGAATCCCATGGGTTTTGGACACATCACAGAGGAGAATGTAGAACGCAGTGCAATCATATGTGGTGCAAGCCAACATAGAATTTTGTGGCTTCAAACTGTAAAAATCTTAGACGTGGAAATCCAACCAATAAGCCATGAGAATTTCATTCACTCAAAAGTCGTTGGTGGATGAAAGCGACTCAGAATCTTTAGTATTATCGTATGGTGTTTTGCCAACTCATCATAAAAAAGTTACCTTGTGACTAAAGGACAGTTAGCATGCCGTTAGTCCTTCACCATTTCGGCTCGCATTTAAACTGGGCTTAAGTCTCGGTTTACTTTTCAAGCAACATGGCTCGGGTTTTGCACGCAGGCAGAATTTTTGTAAACTAAAAGAATCTTGTTTATGTGCAGTTCCTTTTGGATAAATGATAAGGAAAAAGAAAGAAGACATCCCTAACGCTTAAACCAGTTTTTGAATAACCTAAGACTTGCGGACTTGCGTCCTACTCTCTCCGAATTTTATCCCATGTTGTGATGAACACGGTACCCAATATGTAAGCGCTGCAAAACCCAGCTGAACTCCTGGTTCTTGTGGTCATCAGGATTCCGAGAGGGCCATGCTACGAAACTTTTGAGCATGTAATATGGTGGCGTCAAACTGGGGGGGAAAGTTATCCGCCTTTTGCGAAGCAACATTGTGCTTGGTATAGACTCGCCCCCACATGAGCTAGCCAAATTCCTAGCTGGTATACAAAAACCACTAACGGGGAAATCGAGCATCTCCATCAGGAATTCGCACGACTTTGCCAATAAAGTCATGGGATTTTCTTTGGAGATAGACGGAATTCTGGTCAGCTTAGTTTAAAAACATCCATGGGGCAGATGTTTTGCAGGTAACCAGGAGGTTATTACCGAGAGACATGACACTTCATGAAGGGACACAGGGTGTAAGAGAATTTTTTCAACTCTTGATCACTCACAGGAACAATGTCATCCTTTGGGATCTCCAATGTCCCCAAGTGACCTTGGCCTGATATCGTCTTCAGTCGAGAATGTTTTGGCGTTATGTTAGTACACTTATTGTAATCAAAGGTTACCAACTTCCAAGTTCATCTCGACAGTTTAAATCCTCGGACAAACTACACTTCCTGGGCCGTATAGCACATAGATATTGTGAAAAATTAAAAACGATTGTTTGGCAGAAACGAACAGACAAGGGACCTACTCATCAGATTTCGATCGAGTCAGTGCGCCCTGTACAAAAGAGGTCGAACGAACAGCAGTTCAAATCGAGATTATCGACAAAGCTCAAGTAATAGGATAGCCAGTGAATTTGGCTAGGCCTCAATTAACAGGGATATTGGCTCCGATATCAAGACCCAACAAAGAATGGATTGTTACAGTGGTCATTTCGTAGAGCGCAGAAACATCGGAGATTATTCGAAGGCGACTAGAACATTCGAAGAGCGTTCCGGAACGCGAAATCTTGCGCTCGGTTATGGTGCAATCGAGGGGTACCGGTTGAAAGGATGAAGACCGTGTAAAAATCAAATGCGACGATTGCACTAAAGCTTACAAAGGTCAAAGAGCCCCGGAACTGAATTAACGAGTAACGAAGAAGAATAAGCGAACTACCAAGAAATATGGGGCGAATACCTAGCGTTGATAGCGGGGCGTGCGTTAGACACATAACTTAGTGTATATCTGAAGAATGTAAGAGCCTTGAGACGGGGACTGCGACACACAACACAGCGTATGCTAACTCAGGCGGTCAAAATTACTAACCATCAAAACGTGAATAGAATCGGAGGAATGGAACTGGCAAACATATGAATGAGTCGAGTTAGCAGGTGAAGATGTATGGTTGTCAATGAACTCAGAATCATTAGCAAAAGAGCTGTCAGAAATCCCAACCCGACCAAAGTCCACAGAATCTCTCCTTATCACACAACTATTTTAGCACCAGCTCATCCACACAGACGGAGGGAAAGTGTGTATTCCGTTCAAGAGGATTCATCATCATCATCATCATCATCATCATCATCATCATCATCATCATCATCGACAGCATGACCTCAGTGTTCAATATCGATGCTTCACTGCCGTACAGCCATGATTTATTTGAAAGCCTTATTGTGAAGAAAAGAGTAAAGGTGGACGGGGGCGGAACTTAGTGCTAGCTTACCACAATCATTCCCAGGTACCTACACCTCCAAACATTCACTCACGCTATCTGGATAGAAACTGACAACAAGAACGCCACGGACATCGGTTGGCGGCCGAATCTTGTAGTGTCTCCAACCAGGCACAGTGAGGATCACGCAGTCCCCATCCTGAAAGGCGAGTATCACCAACAGCACCAAGCGTTTCGTGATCTCCTTCATACTCCTCTGCCAGGTCATGGGTTGGCCATTTCTCTGTTTATACCACTTTGAATTGGGCATGGGAAACAGTACTGTCTTCGGCAAACGATGGTTCGGCATGCATAACTCATGTCCCAACCAACGCAGCTTCTGGTGCCGGACACATTCTTCAACGGAAGTACCCGTAACACAACCGAAAGCGCGCTTTTAATCTGCCTCATTACAGAAACTTCACATATAACGAACTGGGAGAATTAGATCCTGAGCTGAACCCAGATCCATGGAGGTTCCCCATCGTTTTTACCACTTGCTAACAACCTAAGAAATAAGATCTGTAATCGACACCTAACACCGATTTAGTCTGACAGCCGATTGGCTTACGTTCCGCCTTAATTCTCGACCGAATTTGTAACCTAGCCACCTGCTCTGTCGAAGCTTTTGGGTCAAGAGCGAAACGCTGTCTAGCAAGCGTTTCCAAATAAATATTGTTTTCGATTCTGTGTGCGGCGCATTGTAGCGCTCGCTTACTGGTAGTCTCCCACGGTTTTCTCAGTAAGTTTAGTAGAATTCATGGCCCTCTGATGATGTAAGCCTGAGTAATCATGTATGTATTACATTCATAGAGAGAAATTCTGTTTTAACTGATTCTAACTGCATTTTTTACTATCAAAAAAGATTTTGGGCCAGTACGTAGAATTAAACAATCAGGTTGGATAATCATAAATTATGAATATCACAAAATAGTCCGGAATATCGGTTATTTCGAGTCTGTGCCCAATCCGACATATGTTCTGACGTGCCTGTATCCCCATAACGTGGAGCTTCACGTACACTGTTTAGATGTAATGCACTACTTATAAGGTTACTAAAAAATTTTCGAAGTATCTATTAGGAACATCTTAAATGCTGAGTATCCATCATAAAGGAAACTACTCACAAGGATGCTGAAAATTCTTCGACGTCGAAAGGTTTTCAGAAACCTTGTGAGTAGTTTCCTTTATGAAAATATACTCCGATATCTCGAATATCGTGCCATCTGAATCATGAGGCGGTCTGTATGCAGCACATTCAGTTGTAGAACATCATAAAAGAGAGATTCAGTTGAGTCTCTGGTGAAAATCATATTGATTTGCAAATGAGTGTATTTCTTGAGTATCCATCGTTTTGTGACCAAGCAAATCAACCTTGTTTGCAGCTTTCTATACGGCAAAGTGAAACAGGTCTATCTCTTGATGAACTCTTCAGCTTGCATGGAGTTTCCAGCATCTTACTGGACGAAAGATACTCTTGGTTTCAAGTTTTTCC